GAATGTTTAAAATGCTGTTATCATTTTAGCCTTTCTTTCTGGTTATGAGTTTAAAATAAGTTATGGTTTTCCTAATTCCTTATTGTGCCTTGGACCTTTTCATCTATAGCCAAAGTTGTTATTGTGCCTTTCTTTCCATATGTTCAGCAGCTATGTTATGGCTATAAAGTGCAAAATAAATTAAGATTTCCCTAATCCCTTACTGTGCTTCTCTGTTTGGGACCTTTTCAAAACTATAACCGAAGTACTATTTGCTCTGTCATGGAAATAATTCATGTCAGTACTACACCCACATGGAATCGTAATCTCAGGCAATGCTCGAAGGAAAAAAGGATTACTTTTGTCTTTTGTAAATTTACTTCCTCGGATTTTGGTCATGTGAAAGTGGAATTGCCTGAAAAAATTCATTCTTGCATCCTAGATTTTATTTATTTATATATGGGGAACTAGTTTATTTATGCAAGAGGTAAGTAATTGATATCCACGGTCATCAACGACTTGATGCCATGGCTGTAGAGCATAAAGGAATAGTAACAGTTACAAAATACAGTCACCTAAACTATTGGGTCCGGTTGGATTGCTCAAAGATTGAATTTCTTATCCCATTAATTGAGTAATGATCTAAATTAGAATTATCGGATCAGAGATGCAAATTGAGCTGCTAACAAGCTGGTGTTCTTGAATCTTGATAGATTTGAGTGGAACTTTTTTTTTCTTTCCTTTTCATTTTGTTTTGTGGCGAGTTTGATAGTCCTCCACTGTTTCCGTATTCCCCTTTCTATCTCATTTAAACTGATTTAGTAAAATCCTGACGTGTCACTTGTTCAAATACTTCTTTTAGGTACAGGAACAGCTGATGCAGGCATATTTCCTGAAGTAGACAGCAACTGGAAAGTAAGAAAATTTTAATGCCTTTGCTGTACTCTTTATTTTATATTTTTGTAGAAATAGTTTACACTGCCATCCATACATATTTTCCTTTTCAACATGAAATCCAAAATTCTGATTATTTTTCTGAAGTACAAAAATATCTTGATTTCTGCATAGAAGACTACTGAATTTGTTTCTGTGGTGAAAGGTTGATACTCACTTGAGAACTGTTGATGCCCCTTGTCCCCCCCACCCCCAAAAAAAAGAAATCAGTTAATTGTATTGGGGATTCCGCCGTAGCACAGACTTTAGTGACTAACCTGGTGAAGACTTATTGCAAAAGCTACTTAAAGCCAGACCTTCAGTTAATCGACTCAGGGAAAGGGGATTCTAAGTGAGTTCTTGATCATCAACTTCAGAAGTTGGTCATTTCACTAAAAACTTTGCCTCACAGGAGTGCCTTACTTCTTCAAGTATTCCTATTCCAACCTCGAGAATACTTGAGGACTTCAAATTCATCCTTGCACACTGATCTTCCATGTGGATGCTCCTGGTTTCTAAGCTATTACATTATGTCAACTTTACCCCATTTAGGTGTTTGTGACCTGGACCAATGCAGGTCCTTCCGAAAGACAGACAACCTTCACATCCATACATTGGCAATTTTTAGGCCTTATGGCATCCTTGGAATGATATTAATAAATGGGGTGGTTGGCTGGGAACGCTTGCCATCTTTTTGATGTGAGGAAGAACAGTGAAAATTCACTTGATTATGTATCATTTTAACAGTATCACATTGCACCTCAAAGCTAATCAAGATGTGGCACATTCTGAATAATAATTGCAGACATTCAATGAGGTTCAAAAGTTGCTTGGCAAGACCAAAGGGAAAGTGGTTGGTGATCTGATGACACCTGCTCCTTTAGTAGTTCGTGAATCTACCAATCTTGAGGATGCAGCAAGGTGCTGTCATTTTTTAATTTTTATTTTACTTGAACCCAAGTAATGCTTTTCTTGCTTTTTATTGAATGAGTCCGCCAAGACTTTCTCATGCACCTTCTTTCTTTCACTGTCAGACTTTTACTCAAAACAAAATATCGTCGGCTTCCTGTGGTAGATGGTAAGGGTAAGCTGGTAAGTTTATAAAGTTTTGTTTGTGTACAGCTTCTTTGCTACCCTATCGTTTTCTAACGATCAGCCATTGTTTAATGAAGGTGGGAATAATAACAAGAGGAAACGTTGTAAGGGCCGCTCTTCAAATAAAGCGGGCTACAGAAATGGAAGATTGACATGTACCAATACAAGTTAACCGCAAAAAACAAGTAACACAGTTTGTCCCTTCTTCCACAGGATCTGGTGGTCAAGGCAGTCAGCTTAATTTTTTATAAACTGCAGTTCTCAAACATACTGTGTCAGACTAGGATATATTCGTGTAAATTAGCAACCTTGTAGGAGAATAGTGAAACTTGGCCTTTTAAGACATTGCAGAGTTCATTCTAATAGATAATACTGTTCAAAGGCTACATGCAAAAAGCAAAGTGTTCGAGTCAAAACTCTTCAGAGGTTTGAAACAGAGAAAAAAAAACCCAGATATTTAGTGCAAGTGGGAAACATTTTATGTGAACCTTCAAAAACATTAAATAGTAGGCACCTATCTTGACCTGAAACTTTGCTCTTTGATTGAACGGTCTTTCGGGTGGATTTTGTTATGAATTGTATTTGTCTTCTTTCATTTACCGATTTTTGTGTGGAGCCCATCTCTGAATGGGCTGCATTTCTGTCTTTGGTTGTTGAACTACAAAACGACTGACTATAAATGCTGAGGTGGTTGGGTAACCTTATGTGTGAAAAAAAACAAACTTAAAAGAACAGCCCCATGGAAGATTTTCAACAGGTCGTGTTGACAGAAATGGCACAATATTAGTTTTGCTATTTGGGGCCCTAGTGGCTAGTGACTGGACTGTCTTTTGGAAACAGGGCGTTTCCACATGCTGACAGTGATAGTTTTTTTTTTAATTCAGTTTGACAGGTAGAATATGAGCTCACTAGTCTCAATGTGAAAGCATTTCTATTCACATTTCACATTTGATCAATTGCCTCTTTTTTAGAGTACTACTTTTGTAAATAGGGAGACTAATAGGAGGTAGAGAATCCAAGTCTCTCCATTTACACCGGATAAAATCCTTATCCTCAATTTATTGTCCACAGTAGCAGTCGATAATGCTTTTTCTTCTAGGTTAAAGGGGTAGGCACATGGTGCTCGAAGGAGCTGTGGACACATTCCATTGATTTCTAACGCTATTTTTGCATGTAATTTGTTATATCTGATCAATTCAGAAAAAAGACTTATTACTGTTCCCTAGTCCCTACACAATCCATACTGATTGCAGTATTTTATTTTAAAATGTTTTTCAATATTTGACCTTATTTTACTAAAATTGTTATGGGATACGGGATACCTTGTCAAATTTACTTAGTAATTAGATTTAGATTTGATCGAATAAACTCGAATTTGTCACTGGTAATCATACATAGACAAGTCAAGTGAACATCTAGTGCCAGGATAAAAAGATGTTACATAAATAAGTTTCCATTGCGAGTGCATATGTGACCGTTCTGAATTGACAATGGAGCTAATCTCTGTAAACAGAAGAGAGACTATGGCAGGCAAGCGGGAATGGCTGGTGGCCCATAGTCTCGTCATCAACATTTGTGAGTTGTGACGATTACGGTACAGGAGAATTATGGTATTGTAATAAGGTACACTCTTGTTTTAATTTGAGATATTATTATTTTTATTTAGTTGACCTATTTTATTTTATTTTAAAAATGGAGCATGTCATCGTATCCTTCTATGTTTCTCCTTTTGTAATCGTGGTGTCCTAGCCAATTTATCGACACCTCAATTGATTTCATGGAATATCTATTGCCTCCTACCAAAACAGTATTTTATAGTTAGTAACTATAATGGTTCGAGAGGAAGAAATCACCTCGTATTTTTGTCTCTGATGAGATTTGAATCTGAGACTTTACGATATTCAACTCACTTCATTGACCACATTTAATCGTGTCTTTGGGTGCTCATATCCTTTTCATGGTGAATTGTGTTCTATGTTAAAAAAGTTATAAGAATCATTTCTTTAGTTTTTTTTTTAGCCAAAATTGAATGTATCTCTGAATATAAGTTTGTTAGTTGAAAAAACCCCAAAACATGAACATAGGCGGAACCACATACAATGACTTCAATAAAACCTCCTTCATTGAAAAGTTCTAAATAATGAACATGAGCCGTCCCTGCTACAACAACTAGCTGCAAAATACTATCTAAATATTATTGAACAAAAATATCTAGTTAACTCGATATTTATGTGAGGTAAAAGAAAATACATATATGACAAAATAATTGAAGTAGGCATAAATTAGTCTACATATTTGTTCAGAGTGAGCAAAACACAAAATCACACACTACCCACTTGCACCACACTCAAGCCATTGTAGGGACAGTGTTGTTCCTCATCCTCACCCTTTAGGCGGCCCTTTCCAAGTGGCCGCGGCAGTTTCCCACTTGAATCCACTGGTCTATTCTTTGGGCCTTTTTGGTGTTGGATAAAGATAATAATTTCAAAATAAAATTTAATTATAGTTAATTTAGAATATTAGTTAATTTCAAAATAATTTCCATACTCAAATGTTAAGGTTAGTTCATAGTTGTACCATATAAAAGATAAAGATGGTTAATCCCTTAAGGTACATCTCACCACTGTACCAAACGACCCTTACCGTCTCCTTGTACTAATGCGATCACAGTATCTATCTATCAGATTAGTTATCAAAATCAATCCAAAAGTTAAATTCGAGTCTACTGATCAAAATCTAGTCTAGTGATCAAATCTATCCTTAAATCGAATCGATGCTCAAAACATAAAGTTTCAATCTCTTAAGCCTAAGACATACATCCCCACTTCTAAAATCCATAAAAAACTTTTCCTCATCCACTGTTCATGCTATCAACCAATAAAATAAAATAATTGACTACAAATAGTAACAATTTAACGCCCAATTCCCTTTTCTGTCGCCTCCACACGCGCTCTCCTCACTCAATCATTTTTCCCCAAATAATAAACAATTGGTTAGTCTTCAACATGACCAATATGCATAATCCATCATTCACACTAACATTTGTTTCCCCCACCACTAAAAGACCCCAACCAAGCAAAGTACAAACAGAATTGCGATAGACAAAATAATAACACAAATCCCCTTTACATCTTACAATATCAAAACTGCTCAGCTGATAATTTGTTCTTAAAGATAAAGTAAATTTAAAGAAAGAGGTAATAGTTTTTTTTTTTAAAGAATATAACAATCCTAGGCTACCAAGCTAGGAGTCGACACAACCTGGAGCGGCGCTTGTATTCTTACCAAAGCACTTCCTCTTCCCCCAACCAACAAAAAGAGCACAGATACTACTAATACTATTATTGGTAATATCGATAGTAACTAAATAGTAGTATTACCAGTAATCCACTTCTGGATCCTCGGGCTCGGGCTTCAAGTTTAAATCGGGCTTCTCTTGAAACCAACAAGGCTTCAATTCTGACGGGCTTGCCGTCTCACAGTGCACCTTTTCTTCTGTATGGTTATGATGGGTTGCAAGCGAGTTCTGTACAGCATCAACTTGAGCACCAACTTCTATGGCTTTTTTACGAATTGAAGCAGCAGACAAATCATTAAGCCCACCATCACCAACTAACAACTCAGGAAAATTCAATCGGGCCGAAGGCCCTCTTAGATAATACACCGCCGTATCATAAGCCCGCGCCGCCGCCACCGGCGTTGAATACGAACCCAACCAGATCCTCGAACGCTTGTTGGGTTCTCTAATTTCTGCCACCCATTTTCCCCACTTCCTCATACGAATCCCTTTGTATGGCCTTTCGTTCTTTCTCTTCCCACCACAACAAACCCCTGAACTTGCAGCAACTCCACTTTGACCCCCACCACCTATCTCCATCTTTCTCTGACTGTATAATAATTATGCGAAATTACAGGGACTAAATTACAAAAATTTTGTTTCCCTGTAATCTAGAGCTAATAAACTGGGAGGAATAACAGAGAGAGAAAGAATACCCATGAAAAGGCAAAAGCTGGTAGTGAATGAAGAAAAGGTTATTGTGGTAGCGGTTGTGGCTACTCTACGTTGATTTTCTTAAAAGCATTTTTTAAAATTATTAACTCTAATAAAAGACTCCTCAAAAAAAATGAAAAATGAAAAATGAAAAATGAAAAGAAAATATGTTGAAAGCACCGACACAATCAATAATACCAGTAACTTGCTGGATAGTATAATTTTTTCAATTGGTCCTTTTGTTTATTCAACAAAAGCTTAGCTGCTCGTACCTCATAAGATATGGTGGTGGTTGGCCATCCGCCATGTTAAAAGCTCCCCAAAATCCTCACAAATTTTCACCTATAGGCTATATAGCTAGAGATGTAGGTGTAAATATCCTCTTCTTCTTTTTTCTCTCTCTTGGATTTCCTCTTTGTTTTTGGAATCAAATTTGGCTGTTATAATGATGGGAGATAAGGGAAATTTAGAGGGAATTCAATAATGGAAAAGCAGTTGTCATTTGGTTCAGTGGTGACGACAGAGAAATGGGATTTTCTAAACTATATAAATAAAGATGATTACAATAATTCAATGAAATTCTTTTTTTTTTTAATCCCATGGAAATTTATTGTCGCTATCCTTTTAAGCACACTAGGGACAGATCCAAGGATAAGGTGGGAATTTTCGGAAATCCAATAATATTTGCCTCAATACTATATATATATATATTGAAAAATTGATAAGACGAAGTTGCTTAAATAGTAAACATTGCACGCTTTCAATCCTAATATTATAAATTTCCACTAGCTAAATTGTTAGTATTAGAAATTGATAGTATTTTAGTTATTAATGATTATCGTAGGAATAGGAATTTATGTTTTTAGGGAATTAAAGAGCTGTGGTGGGAGAGTTAGGTCGGTGGTCGGTGGGTTGGAAGAGATAATGGTGTGAGTTGGAGTTACAAAAATACCCCTGTAAAAGCAATAACGATTTTTGACGGAATGACAATGTTGCCCTTATACACATAATTTTGGCGCCTTATTGGTGTGGTCGGAGATTCCTATGCTTGAAAGCTGAATCATGGGTGTACTACCCACTCTGTCTCCCATTTGGTTCCAGGGGAAAAGTATTGCTACTTGTTGTACTTTCTCTTCTATTTTCTATCTATCCATATGGTCTAAATATATGCCCCATAATATTTAACACTTGTTCTTTTTAAATTGATCTTATAAGTTAAGATGATATAAAATGATACATTATTTCTCCACAGATTAACGGAGTATTTGGTTGGTTGATTGTCTAAATTTTTTTAAAAATTTGGGTTGGAAGAGTAGTCCAGTGTACACTGTTCTGTCGAGCTTGAGATTTGAATTTGAAAACTTGAAGTGTATTTTGATACCCTCAGGCCACAAACACTAAGTCAGCCTCGTTTAGAGAAATTGAAGTTTTTATACATACACAAAAATATAAAAATAAAACATCTTATATATATATATATAGTGTAGCTTTTTGTTTGAGCGGGGTTTCAAGTGTACATCTTCGCCCCTCCTAGATCTGCCCTTATTTGTGCAGATAGATAAGTTGTTTCTGAAAAATCATCACCTTACGAAAATATATTATGCATAAGAAAGAAATCAATTAAAAAAGAGATTTAAATAATTGAAATATGAATTTGACAACATTAGATTTAAACTACTAATAAAGACAAAAAAAAAAAAACTTTTAAATTAAGCAAATTTCTATATAATAATTATCACTTCATTATTAATCACAAATATAACAATTCTTGGACCGTTATCACCCCCATAACAATTTCTTATTGTTATTAACTTAAAACATTTTTAATTTCTCTTTTTAGTATAGTAGGGGAGAACTGATTTTTTAGGTCACGTACATTTTCTTTAAAAAATTATGATCTTTTACAGTGATTAACAAACCTTAATTCTTCGTATGGTATTATATCATTAGATATATATAGTTAAAAAACACTATATTAATGGTCACCCTACTTTAGAGCGAAGGGAAGCTATCTAGGGATAAGAACATTTTATCTTCTCTATTAATCTCTATTGACCCCCCCCCCCCCT